GTAGGCTTTGTAGGAACATAAGAAACTAGTACACAGGAGAAGCTTGAGGGCAACCAACCAACCAACTAACCAAGCAATCAAGCAAGCCACCAACCAACCAACCAAGCAACTAACCAACCAATGAGCCAACCAACCAAGAAACCAACCAAGTAAGCAACCAACCACTCAACCCACCAAGCAACCAACAAACCAATCAACCAACCAACCAATGAGCCAACCAACCAACCGACCAACCAAGAAACCAACCAAGTAAGCAACCAACCACTCAACCCACCAAGCAACCAACAAACCAACCAACCAATCAACCAACCAACCAAGCAACCTACCAAGCAACTAACCAACCAACCAACCAACCAACCATCCAACCAAGAAACCAATCAACCAACCAACCAAGTAACTAACCAACCAGCCAACCAACCAACCAACCAACCAACCAAGCTAGCAACCAACCAAGCACCTAACCAACATACCAAGCAAGCAACCAACCAACTAACCAACCAACCAGCCAACCAACTAACCAGTCAACTATCAAGCAAGCAAGCAACTAACCAACTAAGCATCAAAGCAACCAACCAATCAAACAACCAACCAAGTAATCAAGCAACTAAAAAAGCTAACAACCAAGGAAACAACCAGGTAAGCAACACAACAAACCAACCAGCCAACCAACCAAACAACTAACCAACCAACTAACCTACTAACCAAGCAAGCAAGCAACCAAGCAACTAACCAACCAACCATGCAACCAACCAAGCAACTAAGCAAACAACCAAGCAAACAACCAAGTAAGCAAACAACAAACCAATCAGCCAACCAACCAACCAACCAAGCAACTAACCAACCAACTAACCCACCAACTTACCAACCAACTTACCAAGCAAGCAAGCAACCAACCAAGCAACTATCCAACCAAGAAACCAAGCAACCAAGTAACTAAGCAACCAACCAAGAAATCAACCAAGTAAGCAACCAATGAATCAACCACCCAACCAACCAATAAATCAACCATCCAACCAATCAACCAATCAACTAACCAACCAAATAAGCAATCACCCAACCAACCAAATAAGCAATCAACCAACCACCCAACCAACCAATTAACTAACAAACCAACCAACCAAGCAAGCAACTAACCAAGCAAACAACCAAGTAAGCAAACAACAAACCAAGCAACTAACCAACCAAGCAACCAACCAAGAATCCAACCAACTAACCAAGCAAGCAACCAAGTAAGCAAACAACAAACCAAGCAACTAACCAACCAAGCAACTAACCAACCAAGAATCCAACCAACTACCCAAGCAAACAACCAAGTAAGCAAACAACAAACCAAGCAACTAACCAACCAAGCAACCGACCAAGAATCCAACCAACTAACCAAGCAAACAACCAAGTAAGCAAACAACAAACCAAGCAACTAACCAACCAAGCAACCAACCAAGAATCCAACTAACCAACCAACCAACTAACTAACCAAGCATGCAAGCAACAACCAACCAAGTAACCAACCATCCAACCAACCAACCAACCAACCAACCAAACAACCAACCAAGTAACTAATTAAGCAACCAACCAAGTAAGCAACCACTCAACCAAACAACCAAGCAATTTGAGCTGTTTTTAACTTACATAATAAAAAGTTCATGGAATGTTTTTTTGAAATGTGCAATTTGTTCAATATGTGAAACCTGATGACAGGGGCAGAACATATAGTAGCTCCTCCCATTCTAAAAAAAAGCTGCCAATAGCGTGTCATTGTCAACAGCTCCACAAAAACAAATAAGAAACATCTTGAAGGGGGCGGGACATATCATATACAAAAGAACATGTGATTGTTCAGAAGATTTGATGAGAAACTGAAGTATGAGATGATGTTAAATAAATAAATAAATAAATCACTAACACATTTCCACAGAAGTGACGAACTTTGAATGCTTATATATTCTAAATGCACATTTTTTCACTGTCTTGGCACACACAAAATTACAGATATCCTTAAGACTAACATCCTTATACTAACACCTAAAAAATAATTTTGATTTCACAAGAACTTTAAAGGCTATGGGCTTTCATTGTTACTTATGTTTAGACATAAAAGTTCAAAACTTAAATAGACAAATAATTCAAAATAGAAACACGTTGTAGGCAAGCTCACTCGACCTTTAATAATTATTTGCATAATCATATATGTGTCTGCACAAAAAGACATTACTCTCCTATGACTAATCAGTGTTACATCAGTAAATATCCAATGAGTAAATATCTCAGTGGATTAAAAAAATATAGATGAACTGTGATGCTGGTACACAGCAAATTCATTGGTGTTAAATTTCAAGTGTTGTGGTAATTCAGAGTAAAGTGTTAAAATTCTAGAGTTAGATAAAGGTAAAATAACCCTCTCGGTGTTAGAAGCTGATTTGCCTCCTTGTCATACAGAGTAACATGTATCTACCTTTGTAGAAAACCCTTGTATTTGAGAAACTAATCAGAGTGTCTGAAATCTCGCCACACCCTCATTCACCTGGCCCTTAAATTGGTCAATTAGTTTAGTCCACTAGACAGAGCGAATGACCACAAATAAGTGAATTCAGACACCTGCTGTTGAACACCTGCTGTTAACAAGCACAATCACTGAAGGAATAAGAAATTGAAGGAAGAAATAAAACTACAGACACAGCCTCAAATCAAACCAACTGAATAAAAACAGGGGATTAAACAACTCAATTAAATAATAGTATAAGCAGCTTCACTGATTACAGTTTGACTTCATTTCTGTAAGAATATTTGACAATGAACAGAGGTTTATATTTTTTTATTAAAAATATTTCATTTGACCTCACCATCATGGAGATCAGAGGCTGCTTATTTGAGCTCTTGAAGCTTTATTCTTATATCCTAATGTTTATCTGACTGTTATAGCTGTGTTTCTAAAACTCATCAGTTATAGCAAGAAAGGTCAAGAGAAGCTATACTGTTTATGCTTAAGTGTTCTAGATATAATTTCAGATGTTTAATAAGTTGATTAATAAAAAAAAAATGCAAATATAGTTGCATTAAAACTGCATGGGACAATACTACTACCAGTCTGCTGCTCTTCATAGAAAATTCAACAAACAATTAGGATGCAATTAATAATTAGAGTGTCATGCACTAAACATGCAAACTCCAACTTGCTCATAATGACACACAGACATCAAGAATCAGGATATGAACCTCAACCGTGGTTGCTAAAAAAAAAAGCTGCATAGTTCATGTCGCAATGCATGCTGGGTGCCAGCATAGTACAAAGCTCCCAGCATGCATTGCAGCATGAATAAATTATGCAGCTTTATGTTCTTACAATCTCTTTCTTTTCCTTTATTTTGTGTTGTTTTTGGGAGGTGATATTTCAGTAGTGTTTTTTTTTTTATTGATATTTATTTTTTTGTTTGTCACCATGATTGAGATTCAAAGACTAATTGTTGATGTCTGGGTGTTTTTAAGTTTTGCCGTAGATCAAACATTCTCATTGTAAATGGTGTTTTTAAACCTGTTATAAGGTCAATAATTGTTGGAGTTTCAGTGGTTTTATTTATGTATATTATTTATTTCTCACACATAACTAATATGATACTGAATTAAAAAACAAGCAGGAAAGATGGCTATGATATCATAAATAACCTCTTCAGACTAACACTTTAATTTTATTTTGGCTTTCCATGCTATATGTATAATAGTGTGATTAACACTAACTATAGCAGCCAAAATAGAAGACATTTACAGCAAGAAGTTGAAGAACCCGAGTAAAGCAGACTCTGTCCTCCATCATGGTGACTTCAAATGAACAACAGAAATTTCATTAAGAGCTTTTGTTCACATGACAGAAATCAAGTCAAAGGTCAGTAATAGGTGAAGCTCCATGATAAGTTGTTTAATGTGATGAGTTTTTTTTTTTTAAATATGTTGAAAAATAACCTTTTTTATTGTGTACTTTGTTTTATTTTTATTGATTATTATTTTATTTAGAGTTTTTTTTTTCTCAGTTGATTTCATCTTTGGTTTTGGCTTGTGTTTTTCTTTCCTTCAGTGATTCTGCTTGTTAACAGTTGTTCATCAATAATTCTCAATCATCCTTTAATTAGACACTTAATTGTCTCATTAACTTCATCACTGTCTGAGTGTTCAGCCCTCTGTAGTGAGGACACTAGTTAGGATTTTGCTCTGGAATTTAAGGCTTAAGTGCACAGCAAATTCTGGTCTTTGGAATAAACTCCCTGGGAGTCAAAATCAACTCAATCTGAGTGTACATGTGTGACCATCAAATGTACTCCCATTCAGAGTTAAAATCACTCTGCTTTTGGAGTTGAATTTTAACACATTTTTTTTAGTTAGATTATAACACTTTCTGGAGTTAAAATTGTAATCCTACAGAGAGTACTTTTAACATTTGGGTATAATATAAACTCCTTACCAATGTTAAAATGTAACACTTTTTAGAGTTAAAGTGTACTTCAAACAATATATATATATATATATATATATATATATATATATATATATATATATATATGAAAATGACTGAACTGATGCAATACTCTTTACTTACTGCTTTTATTCATGCAAATCACACATTAGATATAGAATTTCCATCGATGTACACACTTTGAAAATAATTGTCATCAAAGCATTAAATCTAACAGCAAAACATTTACAATTAATATATGTTAGCAGCTAGTGCCAACTAAAACCAATGGCTTAGTAAAATTGCATGAGACAATCAACACATTACATTATATAAAATAAACTTCGCAGGAATCAAAAGCAGCAAAAAAATATCTTGTCATACTCCTTAATCACTGTCAACTCTGCTGGCCTTGAAGTTAGAATTTGCTTGATTTTCTGAAACGAAGAAAAAAAAAGTATTAAGAAAGATAACCAAAATTAATATTTTTCTTAACAAAAAAAACTTAATCTAATAACTGTGTTTATAATATTTTTTACTTTAAAATGCATTCATTTTGTAACGTTATTTTGTAATGTTTACGGTATAAGATCTATGTATATGGAAGTTAAAAAAAAAGTACATTTTTTTGGACACTGCCCATTAAAGGTTGAATAATTTGAGATCCAGAATCACTGCTGCTCAAACTGCTTGACATAGACATTGTATCTGTCAGACTTGGGGAGGATGGCACTTCAACAGCCCCTTGCTGCAGGACAGTCAAATCTGATGAAAAAACAACAACATCAACACGTCTCAGCAAATGGTTCTGAAATGCACACTTTCACTCTGAGTCATGAGACCAACTTTCAAAATCTATAAAAATGTTCTTAAATAACCTACCATCATTAGTGTGGATGACATGTTTTTTTGGTTGTTGCAAGTTCTTGAAATACATCCTCATCCACCTCTATGCCATGGTCATCTGTGACTTTCGATGCTGTATCCTCTGGTATCACAAACTTGTGCTGGACTACAACATAACAACAATGTATAATTTATCAAATAAAATTCAAAATGACTGTTATTATTATTATTATTATTATTATTATTTTTTAAAAATACTCTGTTACACTAAAACTCACCCGCACTGAAAAAATCCAAGAAACAATCTTCTTCCAGTTTAATATATTTTTTCTTGCCTCCAAATTGCACTTTTATCAGCATCGTGGCCTGAAATAAAAAAGATAAATGATATTTAACAACTTATGTTAGTGTGATTGAAAATGTAATGTAAATATAGCTGAAAACAGCATACTCTCACGGTCACGACTAAATCATGATACAATCCAAAACATTTCATGAGCAATATTACACATATTAAATCTTACAGACATAAAGCTCTATTGCTGGATAAAAGATATTGACATTACCTTGTTGTGTAAGTTAGCCTATTTGAAATGTGAACAGCAGGTTTCTCCATGTGATCAAGTAGGCCTACCACTTGTTTTTGACAGCAGAACACACATTTTTAGAAACACAGGGGAAGAAAAGATTATTAGCTAGTGTTAGCTTGTTCACATCCACAACATTTTTAAAAATACTGCACAAAACAGCCACATTGGAAAAGCTAACATGCTATGCTAAGTTAGCCACATGCAGTCACTAGCCTCACAGTACAAAATGAAACAGCTACAGCAAAACACACTTCTGCTACAAAACATCCAACATTTAGAAAAAGCTTTTAGAATTGTATAACAATGCACTTTTACCTACCTCACAACGAAGAACATAACTCCAGTTCTCATGTGCTGCTCGGCAGAGTTGTGTAATGGCGGACTTTCTAAAAATTTAACTCCAGTAAGGAGTTAAAGCACGTTTCTGAACACCAGAGAATGAACTTCAAAATACAACACAGCAAGGGGTATCCCATAACACAAAATTGTGTTAAAGTTTAAAAATAAACTCAAAAAATTTTACTCTTTCACACTTTTTTGCCTAACTCCTAATTTTTCAACTCCAGAAATTTGCTGTGTGTGTTCGAATGAAAAATACAGACTATGGAATGTATTTTTAACAGAAATATTCTGGAAACGAATGTATTTACGAATGTAAAATGTTGAAAACAGCAGATTACTGGCAACCACTGCTGCCAGTATTTTGACATACATTTAACAGATATTTTACACAATAAGAGTTTGCTAATAAACACTCTCTAAGTGTTAAACATTTTAACACTTTCAAAAGTGTTATTTTAACACTTATAGTGGTTCCCATATAAACACTGAACTCTAAGGTAGTTAAATCTACCAAATCTAAAATTTGCAGTGTGAGTTCAATAAAAAATACAGACTGTTGAATGTGTTTTTAACAGAAATATTCTGTAAACTGAATTTATGAATGTTAAAAACAGCAGATTACTGGCAACCAGAGATGCTGGTATTTTTCCGTAAAATCTAAAAATGAAAAAAAAAAAAAGAAAAACAGCAAAACGGTTTTTGTGTCACCATTGTAGAGCATAATAGCGTCTCTGTTCCAGTCCAAGATGAACTGAGAATATTTAATGTTATGCTGTATCTTCTTTTGTTTAAAGGTAACTGTGTAGTTACTAATGCAGTCAAAATCAGTTCGCTAATTGCAATCACACATGCAAACATTATTACATCTAAAGACTATATATTTTTGTGTATCAAGCTATGATTTTGTAAAATGAACAATGTATTAGTTCATGAAATATGGTTATTTTTTGTAAATTTATACAGTTATATAAAACTTCCATGTTTTTCACAGAAAGATTCTGGCAACCACAGCTGCTGGTATTTTATCGGAAATTTAACAGATATTTTACACAATAAGAGTTTGCTAATTAACACTCTCTTGGTGTTAACAATGTTAACACTTTCAAAAGTGTTATTTTTAACACTTATAGTGGTTCCCATATAAACTCTGAGGGAGTGTTAATTTTAACTCCAAGGTAGTTAAATCTACTATCTAAAATTTGCAGTGTACCCACAGCTGTTGTCTGTTGGAAAAATATGGACATGTCACAAATCCATCATCATGGACCCTTGCATGTTGTGCATTACTAAAGTGATGTGAGTGTGGAGGTGTGCTGGTAATGTGAGTGTTCTCTGAGCAGGACACTAGTGGTAGTGTGGCGGAGAAGAGCCTGTGTTATTAATGTCTCCACACCGTTGTGCTCTGTGCCTTTGCAGCAACTGGAGCAGAAAATCGCCTCATCACGCTGTGCAGATTAAAAATCTCTCCGCTGACTGTTTGTATGCATTTTACTGTTTATTTATATATTTATTTATGAATGTATTTGTGTATAGTTAATTTTGTTCCCAACTTGAAGTCTTCACAATTTACAAAGCTTCTTCTCATTAACGGCTCAAGGTTTTTTTTTTTTTTTTTTTTTTGTGACCTTGTTGTTTTCTAATTTACATTTCTTAAATTTACATATGTACGACAATAAAATAAAATTAAAAATGAATCAACATACATGTACCTGTATATATTACTGTAAAAAGAGATCAAGCAACAATCAACTAATTTTGCAATAATCAGAACATTTTACTTTCAACTCTTCCACATTTCACTTTTCATGCTGGAATGGCTTACCATACATTTAGGTTTATACATTTATAAGCACAATCAGCCCCAAAAGAAATATGCCTTAGAAAAAGATGCTGGTGCCTACAGCAAATGTCTGTTGGAAAAATACAGAAATGTTATAAATTCATCATCATAGATCTTTTGCATGTTGTGCATTACTATAATGATGTGATATATTAAATAATATATTTTCACGAACAACCATCTCTAGGGTTTACAGAGAATGGTCCAAAAAAAGAGAAAATATCCATTGAGCGACAGTTCTGTGGGTGCAAATGCCTTGTTCATGCCAGAAGTCAGAGGTGAATGGCCAGACTGGTTCATCGAACATTAAGGCAAATGGGATACAGCAGCAGATAACCACACCAGGTGCCACTCCTGTCAGCTAAGAACAGAAAACTGAGGCTACATTTTGCACAGGCTCACCAAAATTGGACAATAGAAGATTTTAAAACGTTGCCTGGTCTGATGAGTCTCGATTTCTGCTGCGACATTTGGATAGTAGGGTTAGAATTTGACATCAAAAACATAAAAGCATGGATCCATCCTGCCTTGTATTAATGGTTCAGGCTGCTGGTGGTGGTGTAATGGTGTGGGTGATATTTTCTTGGCATACTATGGGCACATTAGAAAGAATTAAGCATCGTATAATAACGCGTGAATTATCTCAGACTGGTGTTTTGAACATGACAATGAGTTCTCAAGGACCATACCACTGGGATGTGATGGAACAGGAGATTCGCATCATGGATGTGCAGCTAAAGTGTTTTTTTTTCATTCTGAGTGCTAAAGTGATATTCAATGTCAAGCTTGTCAATCAAAATAAAGGAAATAATGATAGAGAGGTTGTCTTGGTCATCTTCAATTAAAATACAGCTAATGTGTTTTGTTGAAACAGAATAGCCTATAAATTGAATTTTAGAACCTACTAGGAGGGAAAAAAAATAGTAATTACCTCTGTTTCAGTTCATGAATGGAGATTGAATTCAGTTTTCCACATCCCACAGAATATAATTTACACAGAATAGTTTTTTTTTTTTTAATTCGTACATATTTTGTGAATTTTATGGTTACTGTTATGGTATGTGGAGCAGTTGTCACTTTATTTTTTACCTGTTGTGACATTGGGATGGTACTTGATTTTGTCCATCAGAAATGTATTAGAATATTGGATTTTTGTTTGGTAATTGCTGTAATCACAGCATGTAGAATGCACTTTTCTGCCATTCATACTTGCACATTTTGTTTATACAGTATATTTCAGTTGCAATATTGTGAAGGATATTTTACCGCACCACTTCCCTCTCTCATTTCGTCAAGTAGAAAAGATCTAATTAATAATTTTTCTAATTCATTAACATTTTCTATATGGTTCACCTTTCTCATATGATTATTTTCCTATGTTTTCCATCTTTTATTGATGTTCTTTAAACACTAAATGTATGCCTTGACTACTGTGTCTCTGTGCTTAAGAGAGAGGAATCCAAACTCTCAGACTCTCTCAAGACATCAGAATTTCAGAGTAGTGTTTTCCAATCATGTTCCTGGAGGAACATCAGCAGTGTCAAGTTCAAGTCTTGGAGTGTCTACTAACAAGATGATGTGTTTGATTAAGATGAGTTTAAAAAAAAGTGCACTGCATTTGAGAGAGGAAAAACTACTGGCAGCAAGCGGAGGTAGGAAGGCAACAAGGCTTGACTGAGTGCTTTGATCATGTCATATACACCGAGGAACCTTCATCTAATTGATTTTTTAGGGCAGCATAGATGTGTCCTCTGCTGCTTATGGTGTTCCACTGATCCAGAGTTACTCAAGTTCAGAGGCCAAGGCCACATTAAAAGTAAAAAAATGTAAAGAACCACAAATTACAATTTGCATAATAGGGCTTTATTTAAGATAATATTAGCAGATTTTTTTTTTGGATTTAAAAGACTTTTATCACTAAAATGTGGAAAAACAGTGCATTAACAATTACCCCATATTAATAAAGGTACTAAGCCAAAAAGAAAATGAATGAATGAATGAACACCTGTGAATCAATTCAGTTGTTCCGAAACAGTGATTCAAATTGTTACATTGTTGCTCTTTGTACTTGGTGTGGTACACTTTCACATGGCAAAGTTTCTAAACGGACCAAAAGAGCTAAAACAAGTCACGTGTGAGTAAACTCTCCTCACATTGGTCAGAGTTTCACGGTTTATTTTGCAGAGTCCCAGTGGTAGTGGTTTGGTGGTGTTTGACAGGGTGCACGCGACGTGTCTGAAGAGCGAGGAGGGATGCGGTGGGGAGAGGTGAGAAGGGTGCACGACATATTTGAGGACCGGGAGGGAGAGGTGCGACTCCCAAAACTTCCGGGAGATTTTGGATGTCTGTTGAATGACCTCCCGGCTCCCGCCCTACACATAATTCTCTCTTTATATAACCGTATGCCGTAACTGTATTACATATCCATAAAACACTGTGTTATAACCAGGCTCGGTTCGTATCGCTTTCTCACTACAATCATTCCGCTCCAGAGTTCGTTTCAATCGAGCCGAGACCACCTCATTCAAGCTTTTTCGGAGCGATTGTTTTGGCGCGGATGCGAGCGAAATTGGTGGTTTCACCAACACAATCTCACGGCAGTTCGTAACTTTTTTAATAGTGGCTAATTCATATGATTTTGTACAATCTAATACGCACAATTTAGTACGATGTGCTCATCCCCCAATGACGGTTGGGTTTAGGGGTGGGGTTAGGTGCCATGCCTCCTTTTTAAAAATGACAACTTTGTACGAACCGCGCTAACTGGGCAAATGAGACAAAAGTCTAGGTGTGAAAGCACCCTTAAATAGATAAGTTGTTGTAATGATGTTGACAGGACTTTATAATTTAAGTGTAATGGGCATGGTTTAAGTTTAGTGAACTTAAATATTGAAGTTGACTCTCTCATTCACACACACTACAGCCAATTTTGTTTATTCAATTCACTAATACCACATGTCTTTGGGGGAAACCGAAGCACCTGGAGGAAGCACACACAAAGACAGGGAGAACAAGCAAACTCCACACAACGACCTTCTTGCAGTGAGGCGACAGTGCTGACAAGAAACAGGTAACTGAGAAGACCCTCATACAAACACACACCACAACATTACATTGAGAAAATGGCCACTCAAAACGTCCAAACCTACCCATATTTTGTCAACCCACTTAAGCCTTTTTTTACAAGTATAATCAAATTTCAGACCTTCAGAAAGAGTATTATAAACTTTTTTAGCTCAGAGCTTTCAAGTCTAATAAGTTCAGCCAAGTAAACCTTTGATATAAATTGTCAACACATTCAATCCAGATTAGTTAACTCAAAATTGTAAGTTGTGATAACTAATTGGTGCAATCACTTTTTACAGTGTAGTAGTAGTAGCAGTAATTATA